GAGGAGAAGAAGAAGAAGAAGAAGAAGAAGAAGAAGAAGAAGAACAACAACAACAACAACAACAACAACAACAACAACAACAACAACAACAACAACAAACCAAAAAGAATCTCTAGGTGTATAATAAGCACGTGTATTTATTTATTTATTCCTTTATTCATTTGTTTATTTTTACACAATATACAAAAAGTGAAAAAACCCAAAGCTTAGTAGTGCTTATAGTATCGTATCATGACGGAAAAAAATTTGCTAGATTTATTTTTCGAAAACTACAAGCCATTGTAAACGTGAGCAGATGCATTGATAAGTTTGGTGCTTGAGGTTCGACTACATCGTGGACTCAAACAGTGGCTATCAGCAAAGATCGTGTATAACAAGATAGTTCACTCCTCTCTCTAAGCAAATTAAAAAAGTGTCCTCAATATTCGGTGGAGCCCTCTTCGAAAAAATACGGACTTTGCGATCAGAGTTACCCTACTTGTGTGAAAAACAATAAAAGTGAAACTAACTAACTGTGCTATTCCTATTCTTCTTCTGGAGAAACGAAAGAGAGCTTCAAGACAAAGATTGTCGCGTCATCTGAATCAATGCGCGGACTTGGCTGAGTGAACTATCTTGTTATGTACGATCTTTGCTATCAGTGAGCATACATACAACGCAAAGAATGTTATATGTTTACAGATTTCCCGAAATGCCGTTTTCATGTTATTGGTTCATTCCTTACCCAAAATACAGTAAAGAGTCTTCTTTGCTCTCAGATCATTGACTTGCATCTATAATCCTTGAATCTCTATCTATAACAATTACTTGTCATACGAAGTATGCACGTAATACACTATTGGACACCATCATACGCACTTTTTTCTACTAATCAGATGGCGTTAATCTCATATAAATGAGCAAGGGGTTTAAAAAACAACCCCCCCCCCCCCCCAAAAAAAGTCTCATTTTCACATTTTACCCAAGTACAATGAATGTTATGTTATGTTGGAATGCTCTGCCAAGTACTTTAAGGGACATCAAATCTTACGATTCATTCAAATGTCAGCGGAAGTCATTTCTGTTTTTTAAATTAATAAGATGAATATTTGGAGTTATTTTCTTTTAGTCAGAACACAACGTTTTGTGTTACTGTGGTACATTGTATTGTATTGTAAAGCGCTCAGAACCTGTGTACATGTACTTTAATCGGGATTGAGCCCTGTATAAATGTCATTTGTTATTTATTATGTTTCCCTTATTACCCAATGCACATAAAATGTTGTCTGTTCACTTATTACCCCAGCTACCTTCCTCGTTGTCCAGTTCTATTTTTAATTTTTAAAAAAGTCTAGAATGCTCTTAATTACACTAAAAATACAGTAGCTGTGTACCCACTCAAAAACCAAAATTAGATAGTTAAAATCATTAATTTTACAAACCGGGTTTTCTGTAATATAAGTACAGAGCTTGTATGTCGCGCTGACCTTACGAGTATGCTTAGATTAAAACCTTTCAGCTTAGCAAGACGATTTGCTACCCATGCATAGCGACTTAACAACATGTACAAACTCTCAGAGAGGACTACTGTTTTGAAAGCCTTACTCGACACAATTTGGGTTAGTTTACATAATCGGTGCTTGTGACTGCGATCCGAAATGTTTTGTCTTGGTAACTGTGTTCAAAGGAATCGCTAATCTTGTTTTAAAATCAATTAACTGAACAGTTTTGTATGGAAGTGAAATTACTCGTAGATGTTATGTAATTTTATTTACAATGTCATGAAATGTGAGAGGGAATCCCCAATATTTAATTAAGTGATCAGTTTTGTTGAAAATAAAGTGGAATTTCTTGTAGATGTTGTTTATTTTTATTTACAATGTCATGAAATGTGAAGGGGAATCCCCAATATGAGAGGGCGTTGTCTAGTCAAGGAGTGGGAACAGCAAAGGGTTGCTGAAAATGCTGCCTACTGTGTTCCCGATAGTGTTGACAATTCCTGACAGCGGGTTGGTTGCCTGGTTGCTAGTGGTAGTGATGGGCGTGTTCGCGTTGCTAGGGCACGCCATGTAAGACACGAAGGCACCAGCCACATTGTTGGTCAGGTCGGTCAGCGTGACAGTCGCACATACGATTTGTGTATGAGTTCTGGGCGGGGGTTTTGGGTTATGAAGAATCACACGCTTACCTCACCACCAGCTGAACATTGGTACCTATTGGTCAACAGTGGGAGGGGCCTACGAAACATGATCGGGTGGAGGGACTATCTGACAACAAAGACAGGTGATTGGATTATGACGGCTCGCCCACAACGCCAGGGGCCAATGCAAAATTTATGACAAAACGTGATGGAGTCACTAAGGTTGCCGTCTAAGACAGGTGTTATTGTTTAGTGTGATAGGGGTTGTGTTAAAATATGGTTGCCGCGGCCGCGTTGGACAGGTGCCCGTTTTACACAGTTAAATTAAATAGAAAAAACGCAAGGGGGAAATGGAAAGAGGCCGTTTGTACAGGTGGCCGTC